CCATAGATTCAGCAGCACATCTATCCTTCTAAATTAAAAGATGCATTACTTCTGTAAATGTGTTATTCTCTGTCTCCATACATATAGAAAGCAAATCCTGTATCTGCAATTCAGATGTGGTTGAAGTGATTCCTGTGTATAATATTTCCAGGATGCACATATCAGTGCACAAGCATGTGCAGTCAGATAGTAAAGTACTTGGGGATGTTTTGAAAGAAGAGGCACATAACTAATTGGTAGTAAACACTTTGTCTCCTAATGTCATTTGCTGGATGCTCAGATTTAAGCCATGCCTTTCATTTTCCACTGTGATTAAAACTAGGTGGCTGTTTAACTGCAAAAAGGCACAGTGCTAATGCCCAGCACTGTTTATCAAAACATGCATATGCATTTAATTCCTGTAATGTGCAGCCAGACTGTGATCAGAGCTCAAATCTTGAATGTGGACGCTGATTTTGATTAGTGGCACTTACACACTGAGGCACAGACATTTCATATTACATGATCTACATTTTAACTCCATTTGGCATAAAGGTAAAATCATTTTTCCTTGCATAAAAAACCGTAAATCAGATAAGAATTGATTATATTTGTTGGTTTAATGAAGTAAGATAGTGGATTTCTGACTAATGCATTGGAAAGTATTTATGTAATAGAGAGTTTTGCCATCATAAATCACTTTGTGGTGAATGCAACAATTTTTTATTGGAGGTCACCAGAGTTAGCAGCAAAATCAATTCAAATCAAATCACAGAGCTGCTGTATACATCAGAGAACTGCAAAGGAATTAATACACTTACGTATTTGCTCACTGTGCATGCCTAAATTAAATATTAACAGCTTGCATGAAGATGAAGATGTCTTGCATTACAACCAGTTAATATGCTTTTAGGCCAGGCAGCCCAAGGTACCTGTTCAACAGAGATTGGTTCAGTTTACATTTAAAAAAGCAAACTACATCCTGCTGGCTAAAGAACATATTGATAGTGTTTTTCCACTATAAGGACCAGGATCCAGTTTTGAAAGTGTGATGAATTGCTCTCACAGTTCAATTGCTTTTTTTGGGCAAGAAAGCTCATCTCGGAACTTTTAAACATTTTTTTATGTTGTCTGTGTTAATTCCCACGGAGCAAAATTGTTGCAGTGGGTGTTGTTGAAGCCATTTCTGCTTCCTCTACAGCTCAAGTTCAGAGTCTATCTCATAATTTTGGTTAATGAGCAAATTCTAAATTACAAGGGTTTTCCTCCTTTAGTTTTGATGGAACCTGGCACAAGGATAAATTGCACGGAGACATAGAATGATGGCTTTTAAACTTCTTTTTTGCAATAGAAACAGGAGTAATTCTCTGAAACAGAAAACTCTTTGTAGTTGTGAGGCAAAACCTAAAAAAATCTGTGTCTTTTAATATTTTTTTTTTTCATTTGGGAAAAAGAAATGGACATTTAGTACTCAATCCATCCAAGGAAAAGGAGCATCACAAATATTTACCAGACTTGCAGCTTGGCATACTTCTGCTGCTGAAGATAAGCCAGGGACTTCCAGTACATTGTCAGACCTTAACTGCCAATTCATATATCAGCAATATTTTGGACCTTCTAAACTATAGCCTTGTTCAACAGAGAGGCCTCTGAGCAGGAATCTTTCTGGAGTGCTCTGTTCAAAGAAGAAGCTGTAAGCTAAATGCCAGGAATAATAATAATGTCAAATAGATTAACAGTCAGTCAGTTCCTGGCCATAGAACTATATACAGGGCATATTTAAAGAGTGTGATCTAAATTTAAAAGCACAAACTCCAGTCAAAAGGACTAACTTTAAGCCTTTTCCTGGGTTCTGCAATTAGAGAAATGTGATTAAACAACAGAGTGGTCACTAGGGGAATTAAATAAGGTGAGAACTCAGTCCACTTTTTTCTTACTCTTATGAGTTAAGCTTTAAGTCGTGCACAAGGGACACTGAGAACCAAGTCTGCTCTTTATTTACACCTGTGGAGCTTCCTTTGGCCCTAAGCCTGAACTACCATGAACAAAACAGAACCACTTTTCCCTGGGCTGTGGCCCCTTGAGCACAGCAACGCAGTAAAACGGGAAGAAGCTACATAAAATTAGATGAAGAAAATCTTAAACCCATTCCTGAGACCTACAGACTTGCATGAATTAAACAAAATGACTTGGAAGTGTGCTAGATCTTCCCTTACATTTCACATCCCGAGGGATACATGCTGCCATTTAGTAAGACCACAAATAATCTGAGTCAAAATAGATCAGGCTAATCTGTAGCATTTCCAAGTTTCTGAGGTACCTGGTAAAAATGTGCATGAGCTTTTCCTTTCAAGAAGCTAAAACTTGGTTATATAATTAGATATTACGAATTATAAATGCATATATTTTAGATAGTTTTTATATATACATAGATTATAGAGTTATATGTTGTAAAATGTTTATTATAAGTTACATGGAGGCACACAAATAATGTTTCTACACCAACCTATGATTAAGAAACAAATCCACATTTAACAGTTACAATGTGTGTTTTCCTCCAACTCTTGTTAACCCCTGTTTTGCTTTGCTTGCAAATGGTGATGTTCCAAAGGCTGAGAGAAGGCTGTGCTTAGAAACATGCTGTTAAAATTCCTATAAGACAGGAATAAGCCAGGGGCCTACTGGGAGCTGACTAATGGAGTGTTCCCTTGTATGAACACCCAGTGTGGTGCAGGCTGAAATCTGAGTGTTGTACATCGTACCGACAAAAAGCTGATTCTTAATGCTAGAATTAACTTGACTTCTGTGAAACATTCATGACTTGCAATCTCCTTTACTGTGTTTTGCTGGAAAAGCCATGCCTGATGTCCTCTGCTGTAACCCATTTAAATTTAATGTGACTGAACTGGATTGTGCAAAGTGGGCAGGCACTATTTCCTGGGCTAAATTTACCTCTGACAGGGAGGTTACTCAGACTCAACCAATATAACTCATCACATGATGCATTATTCACAGTAATGGATTTATTCTTAATCCCATCAGCTTTATCACCAAAGAAATGGGATGGGCCTTTTGAGGAAAGCTAATCTTCAAGATGTTCATAAAAACCACGCCAGTAATTGCCATGAAAAGCATCAATTGAAGGCTTGGTAAACGTTTCCTTCAAAACTGGGGCTAATTTTTCTCACCTTCACACGGAACTCTTCTCTCAGGTTTATATTGACCTATTTAATCCTGTTTAGCCTTTCCATTACTGATTTTCAAGATGGAACTTTTGGAAACAGGTAATAATTTTGCTTTTCCTTAATGTGCAGAGCATTGCAAAACACAGAGTACAAAACATGCTGAGTTTAGCACTGGTGCAAAACTGTATTAAATCCCCCCAACTTTCTCTGTTAGAGCTATGAGACCTTTCACTGCATGAAGACTTTTCATTTTTTTGAGTGGATTATCAATTCTTTTGCAATCAGTTGCCACTTACCAGCCTTTAATTAGGGATTACTGATGTTTCCAGGTTATATGGATAAGGTTACAGGTAGTAAGACTGAAAATATTGTTATTACTAATGACATTATGACACAACAGTCTAGGAAATAGGATTTTAAATATATAGCTGAGGTCTCATAAAGGTGAAGCTGTGAAAGCCAGGTCATTTTGGGGTTTGCCAAAATGCATCCTGCTCTCCAGTTCTGCTCTGGTCAGTGCCTTTGCACAAGCCCACAATGATGTTTGTGGTGTCTGAGGTGTAGATGAATGAGAAAGTCAAGCACCCACGTACATACCATACTCTGGGGACTTCCAGACCAGAGGTTGGAATGGTCAGCAAAGGCAATACAGAAATGCCTGGTCTTCAGAGGCTGGGTGTTGGCAAGGAGCTATGAGACAGTTTTAGGAGTAAATGGAAAACTTGCCTACAAAAAAGAAATAAAATCAAAAATTCAATGAGTCATGGACAATAATGCTTTTAGAACAAAAGTTCAGACAGAGGTGCCAGTGGAAAAGAAATCAGTTCAGAGGTGTCAGTGGAAAAGTTGGATGAACTGATAGTTGGGGTTTTTTTAATCTATTTGTCCCATTGGAGGAGGAGGTGTACTTTATATATAATCTTGATAAAATGAGCAAATCCGAATGTTTCATAAGGGAATTAGGGAATTATGAAAATCTGGGTGAGGCACTGGCACAGGTTTTCGCCCAGAGAAGCTGTGGCTGCCTCATCCCTGGAAATGTTCAAGGCCAGGTCGGACAGGGCTTGGAGCAACCAGGCGAGCTCTAAGGTCCCTTCCAGCCCGAACTGTCCTGTGATTCTATGACTCCAAGGACCACAGTATATGTAAACTCTGCTGGCTGCTGCTTTTCAGCGTGTTTAAGAGCTGGAGACCGCCGGCCGGGGTTGTGCAGCTCCGCACCAGGTACAGCCTGCACAGGTACGCTCTGTGCGCGGCCCGCAGCCGCGTCCATCTCCTGTCACCGCTCTTGCCTCTCCTCTGTAATCGCTCTCCTTTCCGCTGCCTCTCTCACTGACTTGGCAACCTGTAACTTCCTTCCTGAGGGGAGCGGGACCCGGACCGGGATCGGGACTGGGACGGGCGCGGCTGAGGGGAGGAGGGGGGGGGGGGGGGGGCCCGGGGCGGGGGGGGCCGGAGGGGGAGCGCGCGACAGGAGGCGCGTGTCAGTTCCCATCCCGTATTTTTTAGGAACCTCCGACGTAAGAGGTGGGAAAACAGGTGGCTCGGGGCAACCGGCTTGTTCCAATACCCTCAACTATAGCTTCCACCTGATTTTAGCGAACCCTTTCGGTCGGGTCGGGTCAGCTCAGGTGTTACTCGGGTGGCGCGAGTGCGGCTGAGGAGGGGGGGGAGCCCGCGCGCCGGGAGGCGCCTAAGTTCTTTTCCCGTACTTTTAGGAGCTTCCAAATTAGGAGGAGGTGATAAACGGGCGGTTGGGAGCAACCAGCTGTTAAAATCCCCCCAGTCGGCTTCCCCCGATTTTAGGGAACTCTGCGAGTCCTTTCCGCCAGGTGTGCCCCGGGGTGGCGCGGCTGGGGGCGGGAGGTGCGAAGGCGGCGGGAGAGGGAGCTGAGGCGAAGCCCCCTCGGTGCCGGCACCGTCGAGGGACAAAGGCGGGTCCCCTGGACCAGGGAAGGAGAACTGATCGATGGAGAGACGTGGACGGACGGGATCATTCGTGATGTCCAAGGTAGGTGTGTTGGATTAGCCCTATGGGTGAGTTTGGTCAGTGTGCAGGTGAGGAGAGTCGCTGCGGGGTTGTGGTGATGGCTCAGTGCCGTGGGCTCTGGAGCCTCTCCGATGGGCTCTGATGGTTACAGCCCCGTGGTACCGCAGTGCAGAGCTGCCAGGTTGCTGGGGGCAGCACCTCGGGGACTCCAGTGCTGGTGTGGTGTCACCTTCCCTGGGGGCTACAGTGTTTTTTGTGAATTCGTGCTGAAGCACGTGGCTGCGTCAGAAATGTGGTGTACAAGGTGTGAAATCTATCGAGATGATGACATTAATTCACGTGTTTGAACAGCCTGGTTGGTTCTCCCTCCAGTTCCCAGTTAACACAGACTTCTGGTGTTAACTTCCAGTCATGGGGCAGCCTGACATCTCTTTTGCAAAATACCTGTGGTCCCTGAAGTACATGTGTTATATGTCACTATATATGTTAAATACATTTGATGGCAATGACTGAAAGGATTATTTATGTCTTGATTTATTTGAAGTCTGCAGTACTATGTAACGTTCTGGTATACTTGCCCAGGTTTGGTTTGGCATTTTCAGCTTCCATACTGAAATTCTTGGGCTGCTGTGAGGGCAAGAGATTAAATGCTTTCAAGTCTCAGCCAGGTATTTCAGGTGAAGTTAAAATAAAAGCAGCCCCATCTATTCACACAGGCTGTCCTTCCCTGCTGTAGGGGCACAGGGCTCTGAGCTACTTCAAGAATTACCTGGCTTCTTTAGGAGTGTTATCTTGGTTTCTACCAGGTAAGCTTGCACGGTTGTATTGACATCTTTTCTTAGAGAGCCTTTGGTACCTAAATTAACAAACAAAATATTATTGAGAAAGGATAAAGGCTTGCTATGTTAAATAAATATTGACATTTTAGCTACATTGTTTTGAAGTTCTCATCGCTCTTTTAGATAATTCTGAAGCAGCTTTGGGCTCTCTAAATAATTCTGCAGCTGATTTCTAAGTTACTCTGTATAAAATGCATGTTTGTTTTTTTAGTATAAACTCACCAAATTGGATCTGTCTCAACTGAGTTACATCGTATCTACTTTTTGCCTGTCCCTTCCTCTTAGGTACATAACTATCTTTAATTTGGGCAAATATTTGTGAGTTATTTGGGAGGGTCTGTGTTTTCTGCTTAAAAATACTTTTTTTGTGTGTTGCCTCAAGTGAAAGTGGTAAGAATTAGGTCAAATGCTGAAATTACACACAATGAGGAAAAAAGGAAATGAAAGATACGAGCATAGACAAAATGAGACTTTGGTGTTGGTAGCAAGGAAGACATAATATTTTGTTTGATGGTTGTGAAAATATTTATCTTTCTAATACGAGTTGTTGATACAAAAGGTAAAGTACAAGGTAACTGCAGCAGGCTGAGTCACTGAGGTGTGTGAGGTGTGTGGGAAAGGAATGGATGCAAAAATTTACAGCCAACTTTTAAAGCCTTTAGTACAAGAAACTTTCTTTTATGTCAACGAACCTCTATCATGGGACCTTGAAATGTTTGGACCCCGGGTTTTGTAAAGCCATTTCATATCCCATAAAGGCCTACTGTCTGCTTTGTAAATACATATCTGGGGGTTCTCAAGTCAGACTTGTAAATCAGTTCAAAAGATGTTGGGGGGGGACCCTTTAGGATTTGGGCTGCTTGGGCTCACAGTCTCCCAAATCTACCAGGTCTCGCTGAAAGCAGCTTTGCTTTCCCGTGGTCAGATCCTGTTGCAAACCCTTCTCTGTGTTCAGCCTCAGATCTACGCGCAGTGGGGACGAGGCCTTAGGTTTGATACTGCAAAATGAATCTTTATCTAAAGAAAACAGACTTCTCCCTTTTGGATACAGTTCTGAGAGCCGGAATATAAAGTGTTGGCTGAACCGAACCAATTATGGGTGGTCATAAAATGCTCCAAATCCCTGCCTGGGAAAGCTGCTGGAAGAAAATTCTATTTCTTCCCAACCCCTTCCCTTCTTCTGGTGAGAGGAGATGGCTCAAGTAGACTGCACCAGGCTGTTTTTCCCTGGAAGGGAAATCCTCCACTGATGAGAGCTGACAGCTCTTTGACCACATTCCCTAAACAATACCCATAACAGAGGAAGGCATGTCATGTAATTTTGAGTGTTTTCCATCTAAGCAAGGCTGAACCTAAAGACTTTCCTTAATTGCCAAAATGACACTTGTTTCTATTGTGCAGGGACATACACTTCAGGAACTCGTGCATTTGTGTTTGTCAATGGTCAAATATGAAAAATAAATGCACATAACGTCTGTCATGAGAGTTCTCTCCTGAGACATGCAGTCTAAAAGCTACAGTGACTGAAAATTTAATGTCCATTATAGTGTAGCAGACTTGCTTTCAGCTTAACTAGGTGTAGCACTTAATGAAAAGTTTAAAGGAGAACAGTTTTCTTCATGACTTTTCTGCGAATGTGTATGGGCTACTTTGCAGTTCTGTTGGTGTCCCCCACAGAAAAGCTGTGGCTGCCCCATCCCTGGAAGTGTTCAAGGCCAGGCTGGATGGAGCTTTGAGCAACCTGGTCTAGTGGAAGTTGTCCCTGCCCATGGCAAGGGAATTGGAACTGGATGGTCTTTAAGGTCCCTGCCAACCCAAACCATTCTGTGATTCTCTCTGATGAGTGTACTCCACAAAAGAGAAAGCTAGCACTTCTTTTTTGGTTGAATATTAAATGCTAGTTGTTTTTCCCCTTATGTCAATATTTTAATGAGATTCTTCAGGCACTCTTCACTCAGTTGCTCTGAGAAAACTTAATGAAAATCAGAAATCTTTCTCATAATGCATGTGTGGACTGCAGAAAAGCCTTCTTTTACAAGGCCAGTGTCTGCTTCAGGCAGTAGGTATGGAAGAACCAAAAGTGTTGACTGATTTCTGACTTAAATCTCAACTTCTTTACCTTCAGGCACCCTGAAGTTCCTCTGATCTTCCAAAAATGGGAGGAGAGACACTGAGGCTGTATTTCAAGTCACCATATTCCTAGTGAAGAACTAACAGGTGTGGCTTTTCCTGTGCTTGGATACTGTGTGGCAGGGTGAAATGAGTGATGTGAGGGCAGGGAAAAGGAAGAGGGAAAGTTGTGGGAGAGAGGAGTGAGAAGCAGAGAGCTGTGAACACCCATTGCTTTGCAGCATTACACAGGCTGCACCCACAGCTGAATTTTTTCAGGGCTGATCAACACAGATGTTGAACTGTAGGTGAACTGGACTGTTCACCTCTTTGAAACACTGACCCAGATATGTAGCTGAGAAGTATCAAATAATGTTACCTGTGTAACTTAAATGCAGCTCTGCCTGATTATGCTCGTCACACACAATTTGTTACTCTAAGACCCTCCTCTTTTCCCTGGGTGGAAGAATTCCAAATGATGTTGATTAATCTTAAATTGTTGTATGTCCAGTGCAAGTGAATATTTAAAAAATCTTGGTACTCTGGAAATTAGAGTCAGTAGGCTTAAAACTTCTAATCAAACAAACAAAGACAATCACTTGGCTTTTTTGAATATAGGTGAATGCTCATAGACATAAAAACTAATTTAATGTGTAGCTGGGTGACCTTTAGCACACACCATCAAACTCCAGTGCCCTGAGCAGGTGTATGGAAATCTCATGAGAGCTGAATAAAAACCAGCTGTGTTTCAGTAGGGATGAAACAAAGTCTACTAGGGTGGGGAGAAAGGGAAAGAAGGTGAAGAGAAAAATATAATGCTTCTTGAAAATGACAGGCTGTTCCAGCAGGAACTTCCAGCTGAAATACTGGCCCGAGGCGCTCGTCGAGCACGGACTATTACACTCCAACCAGTTTAGCTTTTGCAAAACTATCATCAACAGCAAGCAGTGAGAAGTGTCAGTTAGTATTAGCCACAGGGAGCAGTGAATGCTCCAGCTAAAACACTTGCTCTTCCATCCTTGAGCACGGTGATGGCACACCAAACATTGCCCTGAGAGGTAAACTGCTCCCTTCAGGGGCTGGGGCAGAGGTGGAAACAGGCAAACGACTTGGCAAGTCCTAAAGTCTGGGGTCATTATATAAAAACATTCTTTTTTTTTTTTTACTGCCTGTTTTGCTGTCTTGCCTGCAAGGTTTGTTCTGGTTTTGCTGTTGATGTCCACAGTTACACATTAGTGTAGCATTTAGAATGAGATTAGATGAGGAACATTGGATTAACCTTATCCCTTGTGCAAGGCTGAGAAGCTACTGGTGGTTCAGTGTGTAGTGTCTGGTTGATGACATGTATTCAAATTTATGTGTGCATCATGTTTTTCTACATCATTTCTAGCAGAACAGATAAGCTGTGATTCTGTGTTTCCTCTATAGAAACTTGCTTTTCCTAACTATAAAATAAAGTTAAAGGAGTGTGAATCCTATAAGGTTTTTTTCATGGTCAGGTTCTGAAAGGTGAGTTTTGCCTGTTGAAGACTATCAATTTTCTCAATAATCTGAAAAGCACTTCAATGTTTTTGTGCTTGGCTTAGCAGAAAAAAAAAATTGAGCATCACATCAGCTTTGAGCACATTCTAACCTTCAGAATTTTTAACAAAGGATTCTTCAGGGCAAACAAAATTCTCTACAATTGTACAAAAGTTTCCCCAGAAGTCTCTCGTGATTTCAGTGCTTCTATTGCAACATTTGGAAAATGTGAAGACAATCTGGTTCCATGGATAGAAAAAATGAGGAAAATGTGAGAAAAAGGAACCTAGACAACTTGGAATAATTAGGCCAAATCTGGGATGCTAGAGGGAAAACAAAACAAAATAAATGAAGAAAAACACACCCCCTCCATCAGGTCCCAAAAATACAACATACCAACCAAAAAAACGAACAGCAAAACACCCTAAACTCTCCCTCCAAAGCAAATTTAAATGCTTGAACAAGATTAGAGATCAGCATACAAGCAGATAGTTTAGAGAGATGGTATGTGAAGGGACTGAAGAATGAACAAGAATGAAAAGGAAAATGTTTTAAACTTGAAGGAGAAGCATTTTTTTTTTCAGAAACCTGAGCATGTTTCTCCACTAGTGCAAAACTAGCAAATATCTTCAGGCAGAACACTTATTCTTATGGCAAATATGCATGCAGTACTCTTTGATAGAGTGAAATTGGAGTATATAGAGTATTAAAATGTTTAACACCGTAATTTCCATGGATTTATATAGCATTTAGTCTCTTATAAAATGACAAAGTAATAAAACCATTTCTAACAAGAGTGCTTAATAGACAGTGGTAACTTGGTGATATGATTGGAAGGGTCCAATCCTGCTTATTCTGGGGGCAAAAAGTCTGTTTTACTTGGAGGGAATAGGATTACATTTCCATAGAGGAAAGAGTAACTTGTACATACTAAAGGAATCTTCAATACAACATAACTACGAAAGAAAATAGTTCATAGAACATCAAATTAAAGTCACTCTTCAATTTTTATTTGTTCCTAAGTAAAGTCAGTTTTTGGCATAAATATTTTCACTTCCCTCTGCTCTTAATAAACTGTTAACTTGTTGCAAGCCTTGCAAGTCATAAAAACCTCGTTTGCCTTGGAAATTCCTTGCAGTGAGAATTTTCATCCTGGCTTAAGGCCTAATGTTATCAGGTGAAGAACAGCCTCCAGTTTTATCTAAAGGTAAGAGTGTGCCTACTATGACACAGAGTTGCCTTCAGGTTAAAACCCACAATGCTTGCTATCTCACTGCTGTTAATGCTGAAGAAAAACTGGGGATTGAAAGGGACCTGTAAGTACATTTGTGTGTACAGGACTGTTTGTGTGTGTATATACATGTACATAAATAAGGGGTTTTGCTTGGAGTGTGCTGTGTTGTAGTACCTGACTGCAGTAGAATGTAAAGGTCACAAAGGGATGAATGAGGAGTTCAAGGGTTTATGTGGGTAGGGCTTTATTCTGCAGTAGTTTGAGAGATCTTGGTTTTGAATTGGAGAGAAGGTTTGCTCTTCACTGAACAGGAAGGCTTTGCCTGCAGTGCTGCTCAGCCACTTCCTTACCCTCTCTCCAATGTGTTCCCCCCTTCTGTAAGTTCTTTGTAACAGTTACTCCTCTGTTGTCTGCTCCAGCCTCCTTTCAGGGACACTTTCCTTCTTTCCTTACACCCATTCTCTGTATTTTCACGCTTTTCCCCCCTATTTATTAATTTGCCTCATTCACTGAGATGATCAGGAAAGCAGAAGAAGAATTACTGTAACTGTGCAGCTTCCCAGTGCACTAGAAAATCAGCTACCCTGAGTGTAGGGGGTGGAAAGGGCCTGTTCCAGCAGTAGCTCTGCTATGGTACACGTGCAAGAGGCAGAGCATGAAGATTTATGGAGATGGAGTTCAGGTGAAGAAAAGAGTAGTTTAATGCTGTGCCCTACAGGAAAGGATCTTCCCTGAGTCACTGCTCAGTTGTGCAGGCAGCAGCTTAGATGTTGTAGACTCAGGCTTCTGGTTTTTATAGGAAAGAACTGAGAAATTACTTTGGAACCAGCCTGGTCTTTCCATGCCCAGCTCAGAAGAGGGTTCAGCAGCCAGAATAGCCATGGTTGTGATGTACAGTGTAATTGGGTTCCAGAGCACTCATAATCTTGGAGCTTTATGACAAAGCTGAAGGAGCTGCTGTAATAAAAGTGACATTCGAGGTCAATATTTTTTCCTTTGTTTCATTTAAAAGAAAAAAGTGTGAGCTGTTTCTTCCCTCAAGTTACACTGGTGGAAAAGCATTACTGCTTTAAAGGTAAAGTTCATCACACTTGATATCCATGGATATTTTGCTACAGAATCATTTTCCTTTATAATGAGAGAAAGTTATTTAGCCATTATCAGTAAATAGTGCATCTTAGAAAAGTTGATGCTTTTCCTGACATTTTAATCTCTTTTTATATCCCAGAAAGCAAATAACATCGTGATTTTTCTCAAAGTATTAGTGAGATTTATTTTAAAGCCCCACAACCAAGCCATGTAAACAGGTGTTAAGTCCTTTAGCGATGGCTCAACTGTTACAGAGCTCTAAAGTAATGTTAATTTTTTTTTCTGTCAAAGTACTTTTAATCTTACACTAGGATTATGTGAGTTTCTGTGCCTCACATAGGATTATATTTTTAACTGTCAAAAAGTTTTTTCAGAAATTATTTGCACTTTTTGTAGTCAGAGTCCATAGGCAACTATCTCCATAACAACTGGGTGATGCAGGACACATCTTTAACTGAAGATTTTGAAGTGTGCTCATTGCAGATGTGTACTACTTGAGAGAATCTCTTAAGGCATGAAAATATTTAGTGACATTGGACTATTGTCTTCGTTTCACTATCTCTGTTCTGTAAGATTGCTATGCATCACTTAAAATATAAAGCTAAGACGAAATGTAACAGCTATAGCAGTTAGTCAAATGATATAAAATTAGCATATAAAAATGTTACGTATTTTCTATTGTATAGATGGGAAAGACTGATGCCTTTCTGCTGCCCTGTGTAATAACAGGCATCTGTGTGCTGCTGCTTCTGAGATTCAGACCCTCTGCAGTCTCTTTGCTGGCTGTATTTCATTAACTTTTATAAACCTCTTGCCTTCAATAACAGCAAATGAAACTCTGGCACAATGTCTCCCTCTAGGCCACAGACAAGTCCAACTCCCAATAATTCAGTGTTGGAGTTGAATAAAAGACAAATTATTCTCTCATCTGTCGGTAGCTACAATACATCAAGCAGTAATACAAGGTACTTACCGTGAAAGAAGCAGGGATATTTTCAATTACTGCCAGCTCCTTAATTACCCGTGGCACGGGGGGGGGGGTGGTGAAAGCCTGCACAAAGCACTGCTTCCTGTTTGCCTCCAAACCCTGCGTTTCCTGTGCTCGGGCACACGGGACCAGAGACAGAACCTGTGGTTTTGGTGGGGTTTCTGTGTTAGTTTAACAAGGTGCAACACGTGACAAAGGTAGCTCTGTAAAACGAGGTTTACCTTCTGCATAACGTGTGTTTGTGCACAGCAGAGCCGAAGCTGAGCGGAGCACAGCAACCACAAGCACTCTCCAACTTTTGCTTTCTTAGGACAGACTTTAAATGATCTTGCTCAA